CAGTTTAGGTAGTGAGGAAGAAGGAACAGAAGAATGGCATTAGAATAAGCTGATTTCTGCAGCAGGATTACTTTGACAGCAGATCACATGCAGACAGTTCAGCTGGTAAGTCTCCTCTAACAGGGATCCAAAGGATGTTGGAGAAACTTGGGAGCATTCAAAAATCTGCGCACGCCTGTGGCATCACCGCTTTATTTTTTATGTGCCGGCACTGCAGGAAGCAAGGTGGCAAACAGGGTATGCTTTACAGATATTCACCCGTGGCAACTCATCCAGGGAGCCTCAGAAATTTCCATCCAGTGCTACAGGGCCACTACTGGTATTCACGGGAAAGCAATGGGAGCTGACTGGAACAGTGCACACCTAATTTGCAGCAGTTTGTAACATCGTGGGGCACTCCTGCTAATAACAGTACATTTTAAAGTTAGGGAAAATATGGTCTCAATATCCAAACTTTTCCTGTTCTGTGTCCAGGTTGAGAGCTCACACTGAGCATTTCTCAAATTTTTGGAAAGGGCAGCCTCCCTTGGGGTCCTTATTTGCATAAATAAAATGAAAACAAGTTTTCGTTTTTTCCCCTGTAGTCTCTCCACACAAGCTTTATACCAGCCAGAGAAGAGCTAACTACCTTAATTGCTGGTACCAGCTCAGCTCCTCCAGCACAAAGGAGTGAAAATCCAGTGTAATTAGTGGCTTACTCCTCTGCCGTGAAGAAACTGTTGCCAACAATTAAAGCTGTCTGCTGGCTAGTGTGAACAATTCACTGCTACCTCCAAGTCCTTCCTGACCCACAGTTTGAAAAATACCATCCTCGCTCACTGCCACAGATTGCAACATCGTCACAAAGCAGCCCTGGGCAACAAAGGCTCCAAGAGTTTTTGGAAAAGAAAATAAGTAAAAATTTTTTTAAAATAGTAATAAAAAACACCCTGTTCAGGAAGTTTCCATTCTGTTGTAACATCTTTGCATAGATTCTGGTGATTGACCCTTTTTTAAAAAAGTCAAAATATCATGTGGGCTGTGCTGAGAGGCAGCCAAGTGGAGCAGAAGGGCTAGTGTTGAACTGAGTAAGGAGGAGTGAGGAATTCGGAAAGATCGACAGGCTAAAGGTATTCAACAGCAATACACTGACTATTTAAGCTGGGACAGGTTTTAGAGCCCCAGAAACTAAAGGCTGTCTTTGGGGACAGCACGGACCTCAGCTGGAGGTACGTGCTCTAGTCTCAGATGTCTACCAATGATGAGAGAAGTGACTGGCTACCAGTTTCTCACAGCTACAAGAAGAGGATTTGGCCAGGACTGTTGCCAACACAGCCCTGGCAGCGGTAATCTTGTGTACTGTGAATTGTTCAGGTTTTCCAAATAGATATGTTGGTTTTGCTTTTCCTCTCCCTCACAAAAAGTTCTGTTTGTTTAAAATCACTGTTTAACTCTGTGCTCACAAGTGGAGAGGCACTGCTCGCTCTTGAGCATTCAAAGAGGGTAACTGAACTTCCCAGGCTTCTGGGAGAGGGTCAAGCCAGTTTTGTGTAATAATTTCAGTAAGAACCCAATTAAATTAAAGCCAGCTCTGTTGCTGCCAGTCTGTGCCTTGGAGAAGGGTTACAATTAAACAGCAAAACATAGCGTGACACTAAGAACAGCCACAGATTTACTTGAGCATCCTCAAAATACATTACCACAATATCATAAAAACAAGCTTTAACACTGAGAATTTACTCAAGCAAGACAAACATTACTCCAGGGCAACATGATTCAGTTTTCCCCCCAACCTCCAAAACTAATGGAAAATACAATTCCTTCAGTATTACTGGGCTTTCAGTCTGCTAATATCAGCTGTAACTATCTTCTTTAGAACCACAGACAACACTTATTGAACAGCTATTAAAAATACATACTCTATCCTCTGTAAAGGAGAAGCAATTATGTTCCACAAAAACAAGCACGGAGAGTAGCGACAAAACTATTGTTGATGCAAGTTAATATGGCACACGTATTTAAAAACATTTAGGTTTGCTGACCTGAAATTAAGTTACAGATCATCACATAGCTTCTTTCAATACTCCGTTAGCGTTTTCTGGTGTATAATGGAGTTTACAGAACAAGTACTTGTGCCATAGTTCTCCCTTTCCTTCTTTCCCTTTCTCTTGTCCTGGCCATCCCTTAGTTTCTCTCTTTCTTCTCTCAGACTACATCCGTGTGTTTTTTTTAAGTAGGATTTGTTCTAGTTGTATGCTTCTCTAACATCTCTTACCTTCAGAAAAAGGAAAAATTGTGGGCCTCTGGTTTACTCTGATTTTTTCCCTCCCCTCTTTATCTGTTGCTATGTATGTTTCCTTGCATCAACAACAGCTCACCTTACCTTTCTTCAAAGACTAACGGTCCTGCGTATGCAATTCTACTCCAGGACAGTGCTCCCAGCCACCTCACTCATGACTTTCAAGACCCAGGAGGATTTTACTGAGTTAGAAATTAGACTGGAACAGCCACTAGATGCAGAGAGGATACCAGGAAGCATTTAGGAAAAGAGGAGTTGTTTCAAGGTTATAGAGTGCTATTGTTTGGTTATTATATGAATGTTTAGTTTAGCATTTACAACTTGTCTCAGAAGAGTTTCTTCCATGGATGAAGAGACAATTGAGACTCACAGTAGTTGGGATACAGTTACCCTCCTTTGAACGACTGTTGAAGAATTTTCCATTCTTACCTCTAGACAAATTACTGATCCTTGATGTTCTTTGAACACTTTCAGCTGCTCACCAGTGACAATATTCCACGTTCGAATCGTGTAATCCGTGCTGCCAGAAAACAGCTCCCTGTTTGGTGCGTCAAGCATAAGGCATAAGACAGCTCCAGTGTGTCCCAGCAGAGTCTGGTAACAGCGCCCACTAGACACCCACCAGACCTTAACAGTGCAGTCTGTGCTACCTGTCACCAGTAGGTCTCTGCTCACTTTCTCCTCCTCTTCCTCCTCCTCCTCCTCCTCCTCAAGAACATCCCTGGAGGAGTAGTGAGCTAGAGTCAGGACACAGTTCCGATGGCCCCGGAATTCCTGGATTTGTTTCTCCTTGTCCACGCTCCAACAGCGGGCCGTCCTGTCATAGGAGCCACTAAAGAGATAGTCTTTGGCAACCAGGATCCTGTAAAAAATAAAGTTTGCATGTATTTATAGTATCATGCTTTTTATATAACTGCTTTTTGTCGCAATTTCAGTGCCAAGAATACTGAAGCAAGAAATGGTAGCGTGAACACCACATGTAGAGCCTTGATTCATCTTTCCTGTTTAAAACATATTATATAGGAACACACTTCATTTATTATGCAAAAGAGTTCCTTACGTCTAGTTTTGAAAAATGAAGCCCCTTATTAGGTAGTCCAATGTGGATATTGTAACATTGTAGCTTCGGGCACTCACATTTTTCTAAAATCTTTTCCAACATGCGCTAATACCTACTTTCATAGGTTATATAGTGCTAAATAACTTTTTAAAAGAGAACTCATTTTTTCCCCAATTATTATATATCTATATTTACAAATAATTATTTATAAATAGACCTATGAAAACACCTTAGACTTTAAAAAAAAAAAAGAACTTGAACTATAACTGATAGTCTACAAATATAATCATCACTCCATCATCAAATAGACAGATTGCAGAAATATTAATATAGCTAATGTCACTTAGCCTAGGAGCTCAAAAAAGCAGAGCAAGAGCACCCTACTCACTATCTGCTTGAAGAGCAAATCAGAGATTACAGCTCAAGAATTCAACTTACTGCGCCTCCACAATAACAAGTTGTAGCTGGACAAACAGATAACAACAGAACAATCTCTACAGTTCAGATTTCCAAAGTGGAGATAGGGAACATGGCAACCTGTCTTCTTTGTCAATCAAGTCTGGTCCTCCGAAACCTTTCAATCTGGCAACAGCCATCCAAATGGGGAACATGTTTCCCATTTGCTAATTCAAGCGATTCGTTAGCCAGTGCCAAAATACAGACAGAGCTAGCCTTTCTAACTATTTACAGAATCTAGCTACACATCATATATGTTTTTAGTTTAGTAAGGAAGAAAAAAAAAATGGGGGAGGGAAAAAAAAAAATCTATCTTTGACTGCTCTATTTTTGATTAATTAAATCCATTCCAACTATTTAAAGGCACTTTAAATTGACAGGCCAGTCAGTCACGCGTGATCAGTTTAATATTAAACTCCACTTGCACAGGCACGAAAAAATCCTGCCTTTATCCCTCTTACTGACACAAAGGCTTGACGTGATGTTTTGAAATCTATTTATCAGAATCATCTGTTATCAATTGAATAATTTTTCTGGAATTCCATTCCTCATGCTGCATTCAATTCCCCTGCTGTGTGCCTTTCATTGCTCTCCTATCTGCTGTCTATGGATATGTCAGCACTGTTGCCGGGAAAACTGATCATTACAGCACAAAACACGTGTAGCATGCACTCAGAGGTTTACACAATCCATTTTATTAGCATAGTAACAGAGAATTATGATACAAAAATGACAATATACGTGAAAACAAGTTACAGGAACACAACAGAACGATCTCAGCAGAAGAACCCCATGAAACCAACCTGTTAACAATCGATGTGTGCCCTCGGTAAATGGCCAGGCACTGGCCTGTCATCACATCCCACTTCCGAATGGTGTGATCTGCACTACACGTGAAGGCAGCCTCATTTTCTAAGTGGCAAAAGGTGATGTAACTTTCATGTCCTAGAAATAACAAAGGAGAAAAAGAAATTCAGTCACAGTATGTGCAAGCAGAACAGACTATGCAAGCTCTTCAGTTTAACTAGAAGAAAAATACAACAAAAACTGAACTTATCTTGATCTAAAACCCCAGAGCCACACAGATCCTGAAGCTCTAGTTTTAAAACGTACAACCACGGTCTTCACCTTTAAGGACTTGTATAGAAAATACAGCATTTTTAACTTAACAGTGGAAAACTCAGCCTCACTGATACAGAGAGTAAGTGAAAGAAGGAAACCGTATAGTTCCATCAGCCAGGCAGCTAAGTAGTTTTATAAAAACATACAGAGCTCTGTTAGTATTAGTATAATAAAACTCAGATTACTGGAGTTTAAAACCAGTAAAAAAGTGGCTTTTTTTTTTAAATGAAGAAATGGTTTTGCTTTCTTCTTCTAAAGTCAAGAGAAAAAGACCGCTTTTCAATCCAACCTATTGGCTGTCAGGGCACAAACAACAGCACAAAACTAAAGCAAGAGACTACGAAAAAAGTTATCATGAAGAGACATCAGACTTACCAACAAGCTTAGTTTTATTGTCCAAGTTGAAAGAAACAAAGACAAAAAACATAACTTGTAGGAAGTGCTTATATACTCTCCCCATTATGACTAATAATACGGAAAAAAAAAACAATTTTCGATATATCAGTATACCTTTAAGGAAGTAACACAGAAAGAGAGAATGAGAGCATTTTTATTTATATAGCCATTCAGAGCATGTTGGGGCTCTACAGTTACAACAAAACCAGACAGAGAGAGGGAGACAGCAGAAAAACAGAACCATGTTGTAGAATAACAGGGTAGTGAAGGAACAAGGTAAAGATCAGGAGAAAAACAGACTGCTGAGTAAAACAGTTAGGTTCACTGACAGCATTAACAACAGATTTTGATACTACTGCTGCAGTTTGAGTCCTCGGCATGTAAATGACAAAGAATTCTTTATCTGCTGGAGGGCTGACTGTGACCTCTCCTTTTATATTGCTTATACTTACACCTTCATTCATTTCTGCTCAGTGCAGTCCTGAACTAAAATCCTTTCAGAGTATTCAAAAATAAAACAAAACTGATTTGCGTTAACGACACCTCCTTTCTGAAATGGAATAATATATTGGTATGTTACAGCTGAGCGATGACTAGAACAGAGATCATAAAACAGAAATAATAAAATATACTGTCAGAATAACTGGAAAACCACAACTTTCACAAGCATATGTTTATTAGTAGCCTAACAGTAAATTGTACATCTTTTCTGATGACATGTGAGTTACCTGTAATGAAACAAATACATGGTGGGCTCCAGAAAGTAAGACATCTTCCAGATGTCATCATAATGAAAGCCTCTTTTAAGAAAATAAAAGATGGCTTTAAGAGTTAACAATGAGATATGACACTCTTCTAGCTGCCAGTCCATTTCCAGACCAGGCCATTCATAAAAATTGTTACCATCTGAGGGTTCACTAACAACAAATGAGAAATAAGTCTGAAAGCTTTTAGCGATCACTGAACTAGAACTCACATTACATTGTTTTCTCTTAAGGAAATTCACCAGATGTCAGAAACTGAACAGATCACCAGGGCTGTAAGTGAACTATACCCATCCTTACTTTTTGTGAACGTTTTCTACAAAGCAGCGTAAATGAGGCAGGTTTCAACCACCAATATTTTTCTCACAACATCATCTAGCCCTGCTTTGAGATCAAGACAACATCTTGATCACATCAATGAAGTCTGTCAGTCAGATTTTAACCATCAATAACACTCAAACCACACAAAAGACACCAAAACCCCTTGTGGCAAAGGCCCAGTGCTTGGTCTGGTGAAAAACAGCCACCACAGAGGTTTGTTGGTTATGCTCTGGTGGAAGCTTGCAGTGGTCTTTGTGTTACAGGTATAGCTTTGTCATACTTAAAGCTTTTAGAATATTAATTTATATAAGAATTGTGTGCATGCACAAATATAAAATATATATAGTAATCTGATGCAACGGACAGTTCTCAAAGCACCTGACCAACCTACTTCAAGGTTTACCCTAAACACTAGCAGTACGTAGGCCAAATTGTGAATATCATCCAGCATACTTCTCTTTCTAGTAAAGAGTTAATGGGTGGTTTAAAAGGATTTCTAGTCCCAAGGCAAACGCAGTGAGTTTTCCAGGAGACATAAGAATGGTAGGATGTGAAGTCAAAACAATACTCTATAGTTAAAACAAACAAACAAAAAATCACAACATTTACTTTTGGAAGGAAAGAGGATCAGAAACTTCTAAGAGGGTGGGCTTTTTGCTGCATTAAGAGAAAAAGAACACGAGTAAGGGAAAACACAAGCATAATCTTTGTTCCACATTCTTGCTCCTGGATGACTGTGCTTTCTACAGAGTCTTACTTTTCTTTGTAATTATTCAGATGTTACTATAAGGATTATAAATTTTGTCAACAACATAAAACCAATTTAGAACAAAAGAGCCTAGCAATCTGCATTTGACACATGGAGATACTATGTTCTATGGAAAAACAAATCTTATTTAGCAAGGTTTGTTTCCAGACTTCTGAGTAAAGAGCTTCTAAATAAAGACCATCTGGAAAACGAGATGATTGAACGGACAAAAAAAATTTAAAAAAAAGAGAGACAAAAACTAAAAGTTAAGATTTCATGAGGGTGAGAATCAGAGGGCTTCCAGAAAGAGGCAGAAGTTAAGCAATTGCTCTGTTCTATATTCTGCAGTAAAAGGATTCAGGTCTTCAGTAGCGCTGGCAACCTTTTTGGGGTTGAAACAGCTTCCGCTTAACATCACAACCGATACTCAACAAAACAGAACAGAAAAACCAAGCACGATTTGGGCTGCTCAACAGGCTGCAGGGGCTGAAGGCGACCAGAACCCGCCGTGCGACCTGTGCCGCGCTTCACACTCAAAAAAAAGCAGGTAAAAAGAAGAAAAGTACCTTGAAAGTGGCCGTGGCACTGACTGTCGGCGGTGCTCCAGAGGCGCGCCGTGCCGTCCTCGCTGCCCGTGAGCAGGCGCTGCCCGTCCGGGCTCAGGCTCAGCCAGTTGATGCCTCCTTGGTGCTCGGCGCAGACCTTGACGGCCGAGCCGCCGCTCCCCATCCCGCTGTCCCGGCGG